TTCCGGGAAACCGGGCGACGCGCAGGTGGAGGCGCCTAGGCGTCCAGGGAAGCGTCGGGGCACGGGGCGAGAAAACACCGACAATATTCCGGGGAAGGGAATAATTAATAGCCCGGAATTTCTCCGCTCCGGGAAATCCTCGCGTAGCTGCATGCGCGACACGCGGCCCGCGCGGAAATTGCGAGTCGTCGCCATCTTGGAATCGCCGGGCGGAAGGAAACGCTCGCGAGAACACGAAATGCCGACTTTTGCCCCATTTGTCGACAACTTTTCTCTTTTCCGCCCTTGCGGAACGGAAAACATTTTCCGCTTAACATGCGAGGTGCGTCCGATCGAAATTTCTTTCAATTATCGTTAACGAGAAAATCCGAAGAGTAGTCTTATCCGAAAGGACGCCGAGAAGGGAGGGTGCAAAAACTTGCAACTGCATTGTCCACCGTTCGAGATAAATGCAGGCGTTACCGCGGGGGAGGTCGTTCCGCGCGCGGTTTATTCCGGGCGAGTTTTGCACACAAAGGATTTCCGGGTGTTTTAGATTAAGAGTAGACAGAGAGTCGGAGCGATGCGCCGAGAATTAGGGAAGCGGTTTCCGGAAGTCCTCACGTTGCGGCGTTTTTGGCAGGCCTGAAAATTCCGGCAAGATCTCCCCAAAAACGGGACGACATTTCCGCGTAATTTCCGCGCGAAGTCGTGCCTCGGGTTCCGTCTTGGACGCGTTTGTTCCGCGGCGGCCGTTTTCGCCCCCAGCAGACGGCGCACGCTTCGGAGTTGCGGCCCGATTCTCGCGGGTCGCGGTTTCCGCGAGTCGTAAACATCTCCGAGTTTCCCCGGCGTCGTTGATTCCCGGTCTCTTTGCCCTCCTTCGCGAATTACTCTCGGCGAACTTCGGACGGCTCCGAGTGCTCGGAGGAATTTCAATTGTTCCTAATTCGGCCCTCGTAATTAGCCCGGTAAATAATTCGCCGGGCGAAAGAGCGATCTCGAGAAGACGTTAACCGCGGCCGGAGGAGAGCCGGGAGTTTCGTCTTCTTCGGAAGAAATTTTCCCCGTTCTCCATTTTTCCCCTTTACAACGCTTATCTTGGAATTTTCCGGCTACCTTTCTCATTTTCTTTCCCCAAAATTTAAACCCCCTGGGCGTCGATCGAATCCGCGATTTTCCACCGAACTCCTCCCCTTCGTATCGCAAAACGATATAAACTTTACGATCGGCCTCCGTTGATCCCGCGATCGAATTGGCCCGGTTCCATCGCATCTGCCCTATTTAACCCTTAACGTCCTCGTCGACTTATCCGCCTCGTAAAAATTCCGCCGAATTTCCAAGCCATCGATTCTTCGACAAAACCGATTCCCCCCGGGTTCGGCTCCTCGAAAAGGACTCGAAAAAAATTTCGGGATGAAATAAACCGATGTAACAAAATAACCGGCGGAAACTGCGATCCCCTTTCTAACCCCGAAATTACTCCACCCTCCGTTACAACCAACTTCGCGTAATTACGTCGCCGCCGAGCCACCCTCGAAAGCAAAAGCATCACTTTGCGCCCTCCTCCCCCTTCCCGTCTGCAATTCGATTTCCTCCCGTGCATCCTCCCGGAGGAAATTATAAATTCATAGATGCGTATCGTAATCACGATGCTTCCCCGGTGAAATATCGCTGGAAGAGCCAGAGCATCTAGATAGGGCCCTGCATTTCGCGTCTATCATCCGCGCCGCGATCTCTCGTCGCGGCCCGGGTTATGCGAGCTTATTAACGCGGCGATTATGCGGATCGGGTGCGGAATAAACGTCGGGGCGAGCGCGTGCTCGCGCATTTGCGCGTCTCGGTAATTGCGCGCCGCGAGTGCGCCTGGAAATGCATCCTTCCTGGAAGCCCGCAAACGATCGAAAGTAAATTGAATTCTTCCCGCAAAGAATTGTTTCTCGCAACGATATACGTTTGATTCGGTCGACTAATAATTTTTCTCGGTGTGTGGTCCGGCCGCGTCCATTAGCGCGTTCGGCGAGTTGATCGATACGGCGCGAGTGGATCGGCGTCGGGCGTCGCGGCGTCACCCCATTGGCCGCCGTCTCGCCGGGGGTAGTCGGTTTCCGCCTCGGAAGGGTCAGGAACGGGTTAGGGAACGGGGAACGAGCGGCACCGGTTGGTACCACCTTATCTTGCGTGACCCGATGATTCACCGACTCGGCCAAGCCTGCCAACTGTCCGGGTCGACGTCGACTCTGCGGATCCGACAGAAACCGAGTTTCCGCAAACTCGTCGATGTCAGGCATCGATTCGCGATCGGCCCTCGACATTCCTCGCATTCCTAACTTCGAAATCGGTCCGAGGTATCCGAGTCCGCGGACGGGAACCGCAGGGGATTTTTAATCATTTTTTTAATTAGTATACAGCCACCTTATTCGGCTGATAAGATTTTAAGCAAATTGGTACACACGATTTGGAGAATGAGTGGAGAAGAAGTTTGTCGGCGGCAGATGCGGCGCTGAATGCGTTGAAGTGGCGGAGGGGAGAGCTCGATCGATTTGGCGAGGAAAGAATCTACAACTGCACGGCATAAAATATTATCGTCGCCGTTATCGGGTAGCGTTGCAAGCTTCTTTCCGCCGTTTTCGCCGTAATTTCAATTGAACTCGTAGATACGTACCTAATGACGCCGTGCGGAGGCAATTGCCGGCCGCGATGCGTACGGCTACGCGGCACGAGCATTCCGGATGATAATCGCGGAAACAATCGGCGTTTAACGAAACGACGAAGGTAGTCACCCCATTAACGGTATAACGGTCGTTGATTCACTTTGCCATCGAGTCATCGTTGCCAAGGGCCGGGTAACCATTTCGCGTTAATCCCTCGTCGAGTAACCGAAGTCGCCCCATGTGCGGAACAATTGCTGCGTAAAATGGCGATCGCGGTTATCGCTGGAATTATTTTCTCGCTGATTAAGGCGATGCGAAAGTGGCGGTCTCGTTTATGAAACTTTCCCCCGCGCGGGGTGCAGCGAATCGTTTGAAATTTTACCACGTAAATAATGATATATATATTTTTTTTCTCTCAACACGGAGGAGCGGAATTTCCGTTGCGTCTTATTTGGCAGGAAAGAGCCAGTGCGCGAGAAAGAGGCGAGGGAGGGCGAGAGGCTCCTTGGGATCGCGTCGGGAAGGAGAAGTTCGCCTAAAAGCTCTCGGAGTTGGCAATTCCGAGTTCGGCCTCGCGTTTCCAGGATCGGCGAGTCCTGGCGGCAGGACGAGGCGAGAAGGAGGAAAAAGAGCCCGCAGCTCGAATTGGTTTCGCGGCACGCGGCCGCGCTCCATTGACCGACACAATGGCCGCCGGACAAAAGCGAGCGACAAAGAGGTCGCGGAGATAAGAAAACGCAAAGAAGCGAAACTTTAGAGCGGGCCCTCGGCGGAACGTAACCCATTTAGCCCCGATAACGAAAGCCGCCGTCCCGTCCTCGAGAGCCTCCCCAAATCGATGCCTCTACGTGTGCGCCGATACGACGCGCCATTTTCCCCGATGAAGAAACAAGGATAGACGGCGAATCGCGAGCCCTCTCCGTCTCGGCCTCTCGAGACGAAAGAGACCCTCGACTTCGCGAGCAAATTCCCTCCACCTTCGAACCCTTCGCTCTTTTCGTCCATCCTGGAAAGGAAAACTGATGGGAGATCTTTCGAGGTTGGATACGGGAATTTCCGGTGTTTCTCGATTTCTGGAACTCCACCGTGAGAAAAAAAAATTAAAGTGTCATCCGATCAACGAAATATCTCTTTGCAAATTTCCACCTCTCGAGGCATTGCCTCGAAACCGAGTCGGCGTCCTCGCGGAGATTTACGGGCAGCCTCGACGCGCCGTGTGCACCTTGATGCACCTTGATGTACCTTGATGTACCTTGCTGCACCTTGATGCACCGCGAAGTCGCAACGCGTCGATGCAATCGGACGCTACTACCTCGGGGCTCGAATTAAAGGTCGATTTACCCGCGTCCGTTCCGTATCGACTCGGTACTCGCGCCGTCCCGATGCACTTTGTACTCGGTACCCTCTGTACCCGATTCGTACAGGTGCATCGCGCGAATATTGACACCGGCCACGGGCAATGTTAGTTTTGGGACAACCGCGACCGAATTCACGAGCCACCGTGACACGTTCTCATGGGAAGAACCGCATGTCGAGTCTCTTCCCTGTATTTCACCGGGGAAAAAAAATATTAGCTGACCGAAACAAATATACAGCGTTGCCTGAATCATATTCAATTGGAAGAAACAATTATTTCGTTGAGAATAAAAACGATATCCTTGATTTGTACGAATCTTGTTTACTCTTCCTGACATTGCTTTGGGCGTAATCTCGGGATTTTTTTGCAGCAATGCATAATTCTTTGAGTCAGCCAATTTTTTTCTTTTTTTTTTTCTTAGTACGTCTGCCGTCTCATTTCGGGAAGCGGAGGCCCGCGAAAAATCGACTTCCGCGGAATAACCGCGCGTTCGACGTGAGCGTTTTCACTCCGTTGGTTCGTGATTTATCGCTCTACTAGGCATTGAAATTCAAACGCCGCCCAAGCTCGCATGCATTTTTGGGAAAGCGGGCATTAACGTCCTCCAGCCGGGAGAACGAAACGCGGGCCGAGTGGGCCGTAATTTATCGGCTGGAATCGTGTCTCTGATAAACTGTAACTGCCTCTCGCCGTGGGGAACCGGGACGGACGTAAGCCAGGGAAATCGCGGCGGTGACTCCGCCGTGCGGTTTTTCCCCGCCGGCTCCTTAGGCGGATCGATGGAGCGAGGGAGCGGCCGAGACCTCGCGGAATCGATCTACGCCGAGCACGATTTTTAAACGTTTCCGATTTAAGCTTCTTTCGAGTCCTGGAATACTCGACGGTTCCCGAAGGGACGCGAAGTTCAACTTCAGGGAGAAAGAATGACTTTATAATTTGTAATATCAGGAATTTAGCGGTAACGTTTGTTGTCTCTTGGGGGTCTCTTAACTTTTGTTCTTTCCTTCCAGGCGAGGTGGTCGGTCAGCGATTTCTGGGCAACGAGAGCCACGTGGAGCACTTCAAGCTACTGGAGCGCGCCGCCACCTTCATCCTGATCGGCGCAAGGTAATTTTCGAGAAACCTATCTCTAAGTACTTTGACTTGCTTTTTCACGGAGGATGATCCACGATCGAGGCGGGAGGATCGTCGAATAATCCGTTATCACATGAAATTAAAGGCAATCCGATCTAAAAAAGGAAATGATAGATTTTCCAGGTTTTGCTAAAATGCCGAATGTAGTGCGACCTAAAACCGAGTCCCGGCATTCGTCGAACTTCTTTTCGGATAGGACTCTTGCGAAATAAATCCAAACGCTTTCGAAAAGGAATATTTTCCCCGAATGTCCGTGGGGTTTACGATTCGGAGCGCAACCTCCAGCCGGGGCATAATTTTATTAGGGTAATATTCCCGGGTCGATGGGCACACTTTCGGGACAGAGGCTCGGGACTTAGTTCCGGAGTCGAGTCGTAAGCCGAACTTCCGCTAAGCTCGGATTGTAAAAAACTTGCGGATATCCGGATATTCGGGCGCATCCGGGAAACGCGGACATCCGCGAGGACTTCGCCGAACCGAAGAAACGAGGTGCCCCATTTGTGCGAGTTTATTCGAGTCAAATCATTATGATTTGTATGAACAAAATATTTTTTTGGGACGTGGAAAGAAATATTTCTTCGGTTCAATATTTTGTTGGGGGAAGATCCTCGTCGATCTCGATCGTGGGTCGCGACGATTCCGCCTCCCGACGTTTCTTCCGGTTCGAGGAGCCTTATACCTTTGGCTACCGTGCACCGTTTCCGGAATTCTCGGGGGCTACGATAAACTTTCGCTTCTGCCCCTCCGCGGCGTCTTTCCGGCGTTTGGCCGTTTCGCCGTTTCGCCGTCTCGCCAATTCGCCGCGTCCCCTTCCCGGCCGTTACTTTTGCATAACCCCGGAATATTACGGCCGGATTCGGCTCCGCCCTTCCGGCGGAATCTTTTGTGAATTTACCTCCGCAAGTTTTTCGAATAATCCCTAACGATACTCTTATCGCCCCCTTTAGCGGTAGAGTACGCCGAGAAAAAATATTAGTTGACTGAAAAAAATTTATATCGTTACCTGAATCATATATAATGGCAAGGAACAATTGTTTCGTCGAGTCGATCAACTTTTTTCTTTTCTCAGGGTATAGCTATCCCAGAAACCTGATAACGGGCTTCTTGATCTACGTTAACCTGAAATTATTTATTTCCTCGCCTCTTTCCGTGGATAATTCCGGTCGGCGGAATTACTCTTCGTAATCCCGTTAATTCTTTTAATTATTCCTGGCCGAGACGGCGTTAAGCGCGACGACGTCGGGAACAGAATGCGGAATCGGCGGAAGTCCGGAAGTTTCGGAGAGGCGCGCGGAAAGAACGCCTCCACTCCGTAATTGCCGCTAATGCTTGGACTTCATTACGGGAAATTAATTTCGCGTTCCGTCACGCGAACGACTCCGTCGTTTCGGTATTTCGGCAATCACATCGCCATGTATCAGCATGTATAGTCTTTCGCCCTCAAATATGCAACGCCGCGCTTAGGGACGACTCGGGTCGAAGCGTTCGCATTGCATGCGCCGATGCACCGAGTGCACGGTGCATCGTTCCTCCTTGGTTTTATTTATTTTCTAGGATTTAACGGGCAGTCGCGACTCGTGGATAGCAAAACTGGCTCGGTGTAACCGCGACTCGCTAATGCGTTGTCAGGATCGCGGATGACGTGCTAGGATCGCATGTGAAACGAATTCTTCGACACGCGAGCCTATGTCGCGTCATGCAAATTGCGCGGGGCAATTGTTTTTTTTTTTTCTTCCGTTCCATTTCGCTTCCCAAACAGCGATCGCGTCCGTTAAACGTCTCTTTTCCTCCTGCCTTCGCTGACAAACGATTCGAACCGGTGTCCGCACTGAGAAAAAAAATCAGTTCATCGATCAGATCATCGACGAGACCGATTTTCAATGCATGAAACCGAAACTCGATTTCGTCGTCGGAGGTATTCATGGTACCGCTAACGCGCGGATTCCCCGCAAAGGGCCGCATGGCTGGTCAGCCTTAATTTCGTTTTAATCCGCAAGCATTTCGCAATGTCGGAACCGCAAACGCGGACGGCGGGTCGCTTACGGGGCCGATTTTCGCGAAAAGCGCAGCGACAACTCCGCTCCAATTTCGAGACAATGGCCGAAGCCGATCGATAGCTCGAAGTGGGCCGATCGGCCACGATTTATGATTACTCCGCACAAGTCGCTTAAGCGAAAATCAGTTCTGGGAGCGATCGCCCGAATCGCGCGAGCGAATAAATTCGCGACTTCGAGTCGGGAACGACGAAAGAGTTTTTTTTTTTAAATCCATCGAAGACGAGGCTCGACGTAAACGCCCATTTTTTCTGCTTTCAGAAATGCCATCTACAATATCAGTCTCCACGACCTGACGGAAGTTGCGGATCAGGTAAGTCCCGAAAGGTTCTTTGTTACAAATTATTCAACTGCCGTAGCCGGAGCTCCGGAGTTGTGCGATCCGGGAAACAATTCTCAACCCTCTCTTTCACCGGAGATATCTGGGTTCAATTCGGATTTGGAACCGATTGATAAAAATACGCGGCCTTAAATGTATCCCCAAAAATAGTAGCCGGATGAATTAGCGTATCGACGAATACGTCGCGCCGCAAGTGGATGCGGTGGATCCGGAATAGAATTATCTCGAAGAGAGGAGAAATAATGGACCCCGACTATCGGAATCGGTGGAAACGGATTTTCTCTGGTGAGGGGAGGAGAGAGGCGACCATTTCCGGGGAACTATTCTGCATGGTCGAAGTGGGAATTTCCCGGTATTAGAAGTGGATAAGCTCCAACTATCCTAACCGGTCGAAAGGTGATCGCTCCTGGAATTATCGAGACCGATAAGACATCGATATTGCTAATAGGCGGAGATAGGGAGGACTGTCCCTTACGAGCGGGGAGGGAAAAGCGATCCGAACTATTCGAAGGAGATTTTCCCCCGCGGGGACCAGCCCGGGAAACTATTCCGACCGGTCGGGGAGGATTTCTCGCCATTAGGGGTCGATAAGCCGGAACTATCCGGCGCGATCAAAGAGACCGGCGAAATTCACCGCGGAAGTCGGTCGCGCGACGGGTGCACGAGTTCCCCTCCGCGCCGAGTTTTCCGCGCCGAAGTTCGCGGGGTCGCAGCTGCGCCAGTATCAATTACTCCCGCGACACGCCGAGCTCCAAATACGTTGCAAACTCTTCGACGAGGCGCGAGTTCGCGCGATCGCGACGAGTCGCGAAAGACGCGAAAGAGCGTCCGGAAATAGTCGCGACGGGTCCACCTTAACTTCGGAAAATTATCGACTCGCAGCTGCCGTTCCGTAACCTTCGTCCGCACTTTTCCGCCCGTCGGTATCCGGAGCGGCCGCAACCTCGCCGCGCCTCGTGCGTGCGGACGAGCCGCACCTTTCGCGCCGATCGGAGGGGCCTCTCGCACCTGCGTTCCGCTCCGAAGTGACGCGGCCCTCGGGCTGCGGCCACGGCGAGACGGACGCGATCTCCGTCTCCGCGGACGGACGCCCACGCGTTCCGTCAACGCCGCGGGGATTTACTCATCTTATCTCGCGCCCTCGGAATTGCGGCCGTTACGCCGCAAACGAGGGGAGACTCCGGATAAAAATCTGAAATACGTCATCTCGGACTCGCGAGCGAGTGCGGGCTTTCCGAAGCGGAATTACCGAAACGGAAGTGACCCGCAAAGAGTCTCGCTCCTGGCCCGGAAATCCTCGCGTCAGGGTCGGCTCGACATTGGCGTTCCTTTCCGCGTGCCAAGCTGCGGCCATAATTCCGTCAAAGCGTCACCTCCGCGTCGACCCGGTTGGCTCTCTCGGCCACGGGCGAAACCGCGCGGCTCGGCCGTTCCTCTCCGCGCGTGAATTCGTAAAACGCCCGGCCGGCCCCGGCAAGATTCAGGAATTCCATTATTCTGGCTGAGAAAACGTCCCTCGGCCTGGCCGTAAGTTCCGGGGATTTGCGGAGGCGAATTTAATGGCGCGACGGCCGTGTCGCCCGAAATCGCACCCTACGAGCGACGAGCTCGTCGTAACTCGGGCTTCAAATGTATTCCAAGACGAAATTCCCTGGAATACGAGATGGAATCTCGCCTTTATTTTTTTCCATCCTCCGATCTGACTTTCCGCGCGAGTAAAGTAGCCCCTCGGTACGCCCATTCGACAAATATCCGCGAATGAATGTTTTCAACGGGTTAATCGACCGTCCGATACTCCGAATTCCGCGGGAACAAATATTTGCAACTCGTTCGAGTGCGGACTCGAAGAACCTGGGAATCCGTCGACATTTTCGGCATTTTCGGCATTTTCGGCATTTTCAGAATTATCGCGGAACGTAATCGCGGGGGTGCCTCGGTAATTCTCGAGCGACGTCGCGGATCCGCGGCGCGTCTTTCGCTTCCGGAGTGCGGAAATCGAGGCGGTTTCGCCGGATCGCGGAGGACGAGTTTCCGATAAAACGGCGGCCGGGAGCGATCCGACAAGGTTATCGAACCTTCTCTCTTTTTCTCTCTCTTTCCGTTCCTTGACCTGCCTCACGGCACAGGAAGTACAGTCGGACCGCGCGGTTCGCACGCGGAATTTCCGCCTCGACTGTACGCTCGCTATTACGCTCCGTTCGCTTCCATTTACCTTCATAGGCGCCGACTCTCGATACCCGAACTTCCCGTTATAATTGATAGTCGCGAATTATTATTCAAGTGGTCTACGTTGCCGTAAATCATCGCGCGGGAATATTCCCGCGTGACATTTACCGCAGGAATTTACGCGTCGATTAGTCGCCATTAAGATTCGTTGCGGCTTAATTGTATTTAAGTCGCGCCGCGGTTGGGACCGATGTGATTTAAGGTCTCGAAGAGAAGTACCGAAAGGAACGTTTCAACGAACCGCTGTATAGAAAATTTACGTTAAGCATTTTTTTTAGCCGTTACCAAAATGACGTGACCAAAATTTCGCATTTATTCCGAACGAGAAATTTATTTCGTTCAAGTACGTCCAGAGAAATGTCAAGAAGAATTAACGAAATTCGTTTAAATCAACGGTGGTTCCTCGCTTATTGCGCGATAAATTATTATATATTTACGTGGTAAATATAACGTTTCAATTATCGATTGCGGAGAACTTCCCGAGTGGCACTCCTCGTTTACACGGGGAGGTGTGATTAAACGCGAGAGACGCTTCCAAACGCGAAACTAATTAACGCTCCATCATACGTAATATCTCGAAAACGGTGTAAGTTTGCATTCGCTCTATAGCTCGCGTTGTTCGATATCGGTGGATCGTTATTTAAACTCCCGTAGTCGTTATAAATCACCGTATCGGATGGAGAATATTCCCGCGAAATGCTTGCTCCACCCTGGGCGGTTTATTAATAGCCGCGCATTCGTCCCATTGATTAATTGTTATTAAAATGCATAAGGGTGTCGTGAAATTTAAATGCCTCGTAATCGCGTCTAAATAAGTGATACGTAATACCGATGGCCACGGGTTCGACTACGCGATCCGAAATTACTTCGATTATTTTTTTACCGCTTATAAACTTTGATGATAATTCATCTTTCACTTTACATTTTTCCACGTGAAACTTAGATTATGAGGTGGATAAAAATGTATGTAAATTTCCATCGACTTTTATCAGGGGGGATTTCTCGTCGTTATACCGCGTCGCGAAAATTAGAGGCGAGTTCTCTCTTCCCGGTGGAGGAGCCGTCAGGTCGAGAGATAAAGTTCCTCGTCGAGCCGTAAGAAGGGCGACCGAGCGCGACGGCGACGATCTCCGACCATTTCCACGACTCGTCTCGACGCGGTCCTCGGTCCAACGCCCATCTGGAAAAACTCTCCCCCATTGTCTCTCCCATCGCCCAAGGGCGGTTTTTTTTTTCCTCCGGAAAAGTTCTCGCGGCGGAGCCATCCGAGCGTTTCCGACATCCGCTTCTTCCGGGTCGTTTTGTCGTCCCTTCGGTGTACGGGGGAACAGGTCGAAATGGGATGTACGGAGAGAAGAGGGACGAGGAATAAACCCGAAATACAATTGGTTCCGTAGGACCTGAGACCCTATTCTCGAGTTCATCCGATCAACGTATGCGAAATAGACAGTTTTGCCCACGATTTTCAAATGTTGACCAATGACGCGACTTCGGGGCGTTTTCGGCACGCTAACCGGAGAGGACGGTGCGCGTCTCGGACAGGTACTTGCCAGGTACGCGATGGACAGGGGCGCACGCGTCCCCATAGGTGTACGGCCGGAGCGTGGCGCGAGTTCAGGCCGCCGGTGAGAGGCGGCTCTGACCGGTCATTCACTTACCGGCCGCGTAAAAAGCCGCCGCTACCTCTACACCGTGTACTCTTTATACCCGGGGCGCGCGACCGCGGCTGTGCTCGAGTTTCCAGCGAAGCGGCCAGACGCAGAGGCGGCGAGCACGGGAGAAAGAGAGACGCCCGATAGGAGTGCCATTGTCGTCGAGCGACAACACCTTGCGGCTCCTCCGCACGCGCAAGCGCGTCCTCTTTCGATCGGCCGATCGCCTCCGGTCGCGTCGGTCGCGTCGGTCGCGCCGCGACCCCCGGCGACGCCTTTACGAGCGCCCTCCACCCCGACATTATGCGCCATTACTCGCCATTATTCGCCTTTATTCATCTTTACTCGTCTTTATCCCCCGGGAAGGGGTGGACGCGCCTCTTCCTCCGGGATCGGACCAGATTTTCTTTTTTTTTTCAAGCGACGCTTCTTTATCGAGGTCATCGTAAATTCGATCCGCGCGAAAATTGCCGCTGACTCGACGTTGTATGTTTTTCTTTTTCGGGTTATCTCTTTCTTTTCTTCTTCAAATGCGGAAAGATTAACTCGATCGTTTTGCCCTGCGGGTGGGGCGTTTAGGGATTATTTGCGCCGGTTTTTGTGAGGAGCATGGCTTCTGGATCGTTTTTGGCTTTGAAGAGCGGAGCGACGAGTTAGCTTTGTCAGCTGTCGCATTTTTCGCGGCATCCCTCGAGGGATGGAGAGAGAGAGAGAAAGAGACGACCCCCGAGTGACGCCCGCGAGAATCGCCTTTACGAACGACCGTCGATGCGCTCCTCTTTTTTTTTCCTGCCTCGCTCTTAGGCATTCCCCTTTATTCTATGTGGAGTCCCCTCGAGATATGCACGAGATATACCCGTCCCTCCATCTCTCTTTCTCTCCCACTCAAGGATTTATGCGTTCCCCGTCCCTTTGCCGAGGCTCCGCAAAAGAAGGAAAGAAAGCTCGCGAAAGACAATCGCTTAATTTGACAGCCCTTTCAGGCCCGGGGGTGGAAAAAGGGATAAATCGCGGTCTCTCTCTGGGAATAATCTCGGTACTCTCCGAGTGCGGGGAAAAAATGCATTTTCCGCGTCAATTCGAGACTCCATCGAC